TAGTTGTGTTCCACTGAGGTGGTAAAATATGCTAGTGCTGCTTGTAATTTCATTTGCCACTGGAATGGATACAGAGATCTGATAGGATTATCCATCCAATACATCCTGAGCGGTGTCTGGTCTGCTTTTTGTGCAAACTATTTAGGAATTTTCTGAGTGTTCAACAACCAAGAAGAGACTGAAGAGGACTTTTTTGAGGTAAAAATGTCCCACTGTGAATTGCAGAGGTAAGTGTAATGAGCTGTTTTGGTCTTGGCTTAACTTGTTTGTAACAAACACCCTGATAAATATAGTATTTAAAAGTCACAGAAAGACATAGTTAAGTCACCTTCAAAATAAACAGAAAATGTAGCCTCTGTAGAATCTCTCAGAAAAATGTCTTTACCCTCAGTTATGAACAGGTTCTGACTTTAGTTTTTATTTGATATCCAATATTATGACAGAGATACATAGTAATAAAAGTTTCTCTTAGAGATATTCCTGGTTAGGTGTTGTCTTAAAAATACTGCTGACTGCCTTGTGTATGTTTGATTTTTGAACTCTGTTTTGAAAATGAATGGAGTCAAAGGATGACTATTGGCAATGTTTCAGAATAAGGCTGGGAATAAATGCTTTATGATAGAAGCATCAGTGTTACATCATTGTCAGATTCTGCAACATTGTGATTTACTGAATTAGATTCAGGGCCTTTTACCCCAGATTACTCAGATTTATATTCCTATCTGATGAAATGTGAAGAAATGAAGAGAAGAAAGGCAAAGACCAAACAGCAATTTGATCTGCAGTTTTCCTGTAGTTAGCCAGCTGAATCATAGTGTGTGCTGGGGCCTATTGCCAGCTTATCTTGCCTGTGTTTTGGTGGAGTTTTTTTAAGCTGATCGATTTTTAAAAACAGACCGAACTGAACACAGGGCATTGACTTAACAAACAACTAGCCTCTTTTAGAAAAGCTTTAAAGGAGGAACTACGAGTGTTTGGATGGTACAGCAGCGTCAGCTGTAAGAAGAGGCAGAGGGCTGGGAGTGAAAAATTAGTGGTGTTGCTGAGAAGAATGATTGTGAAGAAAGAGGTTCATGTCCACATAAGAGCTAGAAGAATTTCACAGCTGTTTGAAACTGAGGGCAAAGGAGGTATATGATAAGATGAAGTGGCAACAGGGAAAGGGATTTAAACAGGACAGTTCTTGGCAAGACTGCTTTCTGTATGTAAATTCCATTATGTATGCGTGTAAATAGCCATAATGTATTTTGGAGATAACCTATGTGAAGTTGCAATATAGGTTTGCACTGTAGTTTGTAGTGTAGTGTAAATATGCCCAAGCTTGCTTTAAAGTGTTTAGTTTCAGCATGAAAACTGCTCTACCCATTGTAACACAGAGATTAGCTGGACTAATACTCAGCTGCGAAGCAGGGTGTATTGCCTCATGCTCAGCTCCACAATGTCATGGTTTTTAACTTAGATTATTGAAAGTTAATACAGAAAAATCAATTCACTTCTCTCTGCCAGGTGACCTAGGAAAAAGTCCAAGGCATTGCAGGTAGTTTTTAGAAGATCAGACAGGAAGAAATAGGAATAATGAATGTGTTATTACAGTACAAGTAATCTGAACCATAAATATTTTAATTAGGTACTAGAAGAAAAGCTGGTCACAGTCTTTCTAGAAGCATAATGCCTCCTTTGAGCAAATCACCTTGTCTTGTGTAAAAAGGATGGCCTAAAATATGTTTACAGGCTGCAGTTTTAGTGTAGGAAGGTATTTCTGTTATTCTTAGAAGTAGTTTGATAAGAATTTCTTATATGAATTGCTGAATCACTCCAGTAAAGGTAATGGAACAGAAAAAACACTTCTTAGATAGTTTCCTTTCATGTATATCCTTGGTTTCTCATTATCAAAGGAAATTTTTGCTGAGGACAAACTGAACTGTGTCAAAGTAATAATAAGCAAACTTCTCAAAATGCCAACTCTTGCAAATCTCTAATTAAACATGGAGATGGTATGGTGTCCTAGAGGGACAGGTGCAAAGGTGAGATAAAGATGCAAAGTATGGGAAAATGATGAAATTAAAAATAAACTAGCTACATCAACTCCCTTATAAACTCAAAGTGTTGAATAAACTAAAATTGCAAAGAAATGTCCTTAGTCCCTTTGAGCCTGGAATCTTGTAATTTTTTCCCTATTTTCTTAATTTCTCTTTCAGACACCATGATTTTATTTACACACAGTACAAAAATTCTGGTTGCCAGGTTGAAAAACAGAAGGTGTCACAAGTCAGGGAGGAGCATGTGGGGATGACCCTTGTGATGGTGGGGGAGGGAATAAGGTAGAGCCTTGTTTTTGATTTTCATCCATTCCGTAGAATCATCTTACGAATTCAGTAATGTTTTAGATTGAGGGGGGATGACAGGGAGGTTTAACAAATCTTTCACTGCATGTGTCTCACTTGGCAGTAACAGTCAGTGCAACAGAATACACAAACAGCCTCTGAATGCTACCATTTTATAGTGTGTTCAGAGGACACCAATGGAAACAGTCTCACCTTTTTTAAGTCTCTAATACTGCCTTTTAAATAGCTGTTTGAATGTTAGCTGGTTACCAGCAGCTAGAACCCCCTGCTGCTTCTGGGATTGCAGAGGGGAATGGCAAACTGAGTTTTGAGCTGCCAGCAATCCTCCTGAAGTCTACACTGAACAGCAGGAGATTCTTGAGTGCAAGGTTAACAGGTGTAATAGAAAGCACACCTGATTCCCCAGGAGGCTGGAGATGTATAAATAAGGGGCAGCGAGAAAATGGGGCTCTGAAGTCTTGAAGAAGACATAAGGTCCTTCGCCCTAACTAGATATGAAACTGCATCTCTATGGAGAACAGTGATGGCTGGGGAAAAAACCTGAAAGAACTTCATAGAAGCTTGGACTTTCATTTAAGGAATGTAGATAGACCATTCCAGCCTCTTGACCTAACACCCCACAGTGTTAATTTATTTCTCCAGCTGAATGGGTGCCTCATCAGAGTTGTAAACAGTCAAAAAAAGATGAAGTGTTCCAAATGAGTTCTATTTTTTTGGAAGGAGGGGGAGGGAGTGAGAAAACAATTGGAAAATGTAAACACTGTTTATGATCCACCTAATGGAAAAGTTTCTTTTATGCCAGGCTGTTTGGTTGTCCTGCCCTTAAGAGAGTTCTTTTATCTGAACTTGCTAAATAGAGTTGAGAAGAATGTATTGGACATTTGGAAATCAAATTTTGTGTAAGCAGTAGGCACATTTTCTTTGTAGCTCTGTTGAGTGCAGATGTGAGTGTGGTAGCATGCATATAGTGTTTCATCCTGGAAAGGTGAGCTTTTTAAGGCAGAACTTTAGTGTATAACCTATAGTCTGTTTGCAGAGACCTCTATTTACCTGCCTGGGTGCTCATTCCCAAATATTCTTTCTGTTAACAAATCCTGTTCTTATTTGCCTTCCTTGAAAATTTATTTCTGACAGTTGTTAAGTTCTTCCTAGATCTTTTCTAAGACGTAATTGATTTTGTTTTCCTGAACATATAATTTTATATGGTAACATCTGTGTAAGAGCAATTTGCTGTGGTTCAGGGAACTGGACTATTATGGGCTTTTGTCTTTGTATTGCAATTATAAAGCTACTAACTTGATCTTAATAACATTTGCCTATTACAACATATTAGATGCATGAAAGGAAAACAGTGCAATTTTAAACACAGCAAATGATGCTGAAATATGCTCATGTGTCTCTCTTGGATTATCTACCAAAACGATAACAGAAGTTTCTATTTTGATTTTTGTAGGCATTGCATGAATTCTATATTTTGGAATTAAACTAAATTTCTCAGGTTGTATCAAGTAAAGTTAGCATGTGTTTTTATGTATTTATGTGTATTTGTGTGCACATGTTTTCCTTTGTCAAGTGCAGTTTTTATGATTTTAATTTCTTAATACTGTTGCTATTTTTAAAAATTACTTAACAGACAGTCAATTAAGGCCCATCTTAGAAAAAGACATATGTAAGTGTTCAGCTTCAAGCTTGTGCTCAGGAGCATAGCAACTTGTAAGCCTAGAATAGAACATGTGTCTAAAAATTTTGATTCAGCAAGTTCTTTAGTTGCTAGTAGTCTTAATTTTTTGTCTACAGTAGCTCATAATTTTTATTGGAACCATTACAGAAGAGTTCCTGGCTAAGGGAGATTCATTTAGACATCTTTCAATCACATGAATGACATGTGCTCATATAGACTCTTTTGAAGTGGACTTTACTGCTTGTTTGGGACCCTTTTGAATACTCTGTACCTGGATAGAGGTTATTTGGACTTTAATAGTTTCCTTGAAATCCCTGACTTATGTGACAATAATAATTTTTTTGATCTGGTACTTAATTGGCAAATATCCATTAGCAACTGAAAAATTTACTGGCATTTTCAACAGAAAGGCCGAGAGAGTTGGTTAAACTGTTCAACTGCATTGCTCACAGACCTTGTACAACAAGGAAATGAATTATAAATACAAGAGGATATTATAACTGAAAAGTATGTTTACTGAGAAAACATAACAGGCAAATTTTCTTTTTGATGAGGGTAGCCTATGTAGGACAGAAATTTATATTCCAAGATTGTGTTTCTGACTCTAGTTACCTTCTCATCACCTCTGAGATTTCTAAAGATCTCATCATCGCAGCAGTGTTGAGACGTCGATGAACGGAGGTCGTACTTTCTTCCAGATGTGAAGGTGACTCTTGTGTTCTCAGCTTTGCAGAGGGAAATGTCTAATTCAGCTGATGGATATAAAGAACAGAAATCCTGCTTGTTTCCACATTAATGCTTCCCGTGTTGTTAATCAGCATATGATATTTTTTTTTGTTGGCACTTTAATTAATTTTCTTTTAAAGCAGATTGATGAAGAATCTTAAGGCAGTGCTATTAGAAAATGTGACACGAAGACTCTTAAAACATCTCAGATTATTTGATGTCTGTCCTTTTTTTTTTTTTGTTTAAAGGATGCTGTGACAATATGCACTCTGGGAATAGGAACTGCTTTTGGAGAGTCCATTCTGGATAACACTCCTCGCCATGCTACCATCGTTACCAGAGAATATAGTGAGCTCCTTCGAATTGAGCAGAAGGACTTTAAAGCACTTTGGGAGGTAAATTCAGATTTATTTGCAGTTAATGCAGAAAAAAATGACTTAAAAGGTTAAGTGTTTGTAATGAAATAAAAGCACATTTATACCATGAGTAAAGTATAATTCTTTTAAATTAGTTTGGAAAAAAAGTTTTTACTTCTCTTTAGTGCTTAATATTCTGCATGATTGCATTTTCCTGTATTTCTTGTAGGCCTCTTCTAATGAAATAACTTACGTGAAATTTCTGGTAGAATTTATTTGTATATGGCAGGTGTTGCTTTCTTAGCCTTAAACTTGCTTTTATTGCCAACATTTATGAGGAGAGTCTATCCTTAATATACTCTGAAATTTTAAATTATTCTCCTTTACTCTTGTCTCATCACCAGCTGTAAAGGGTTTAGAATTTGCAGATGGATCAAGATCACTTAAAAATTAACTTACTGATTACATGTGAATTCCTTTAAAACTTTCCTTTGTGGAGAACATAGTGCTGAGGTTCTTCATTCTATAATCTGCGTGTTCTTTGGTACCCACTCAGAGAAGACTTCATTAACATGTTACTGTGGAAAGTTACTGAACTTGAGTCTGTCTGCATTTTTGTGAGCATTACATTTGGTTGGAAAAGTGTTCTGGTTCCTTTTGGCCTGGCCTACACTACTGCCAATTTGTAGTGCCAGCTTGTTTTAAATGGTGACTGTACAAGTGTAGGTGTTGTGTAGAGCTGTCAGATGGTGTGACAGTGTCCTAAACTTGCAGGTCTAGGGACACTAACTATATTTAAGAAATAGATGCTGGTTGTAACATTTTAGTTCAGCTTCTCTCCTGAGTGCAGACAGATGGATTTTTTTTTGCTTTCTTTTCTTGAGAAAGAGCAGTATTATACTGCAAATAATTGTCCTAAAGCAGTACTAAAGTCAGTATCAGAAAAAAAATCAAATCCGCAACTAACTACACTGATAGAGGAAACAGCACTTCCATCACCTGTCTGCAAATATGTTTCCTTGAGCACAATTGATGGTGTAGCATGACCAAGTGTGAAGGACCTCTGAATGAATGAAGCATGTTGCTGTTAATGCTCTAATTAGATATCATTCTTTGAATTGCATAGCCATGATTTGTACTGGGTTTTTTTTGCAAGTTCTACAGTTAAAATAAAATGCTGGTAAGGTCTTGTAGCAAATTTGAAGAATTTGACAAGGCAATGTTTTTCTGCAGTTCATAATCTTTCTTCTCTACAGCAACTGCATTATAGTTTTAGGCCTTGGCATTAAAAGATTAAATATGCCAGTGGTCTCCTCAGTTTTAACATATGCAGCACTTGCCAGTGGTCAGAAATTTGTTAATGAAGATACTGCTTTACAAGATAATGATGGAGGAGAATAAATCCAATTGTAGGTTTCCCCAGTAGCATTTTTTTTTTTAAGAATCACTTTTAATTGATATAAGCACAGTAATTTCTCCTATGTATATGAATTTCCTGCTAAGCATTCAGAGACTGTTGTTTTCCTATCAGGATTATTGGGGGAGTGGAGGTTAAGTTAGTTCCCTTCTCAAAATTTTTGAAGTTGTTTTAAAACAAAAATGCCAACATAATTTGCTCTTTAATCATCAGTACAGTGTTGTTTCTAGAAATTTTGCTGATTTTGGTGAGTGTTTTTATGATAGATGCTTTTGGGAAAGGTCATGTGTGTTGGAAGTATTGAGAGTGATCGTAGGAAGCTTTGGCACACATCTTGTATGTTGCAGCTTTTATGAAATTGTGCAGTAGAACATGTCACAAATGCTGCAGGTGTCAGTCACAGACCACAGTTTAGATTTGTGGTGCTTCTTTGCCTTTTGTGCCATTTTACAGGGAACTTTTGATATATTTTGGTGTGCTTTCTTTCAAGGAGGCTATCCCTGTGCTCTCAGTAGAAAATTATGTCATGAAATACAGCTTTGCTGAGGTAGAATTAAGTTTTTCATTTTTTCAAGGCAGTATTTATTTCCTTACAATCTGCTAATCCCAGAGACTGCATAAATTGCAGCTAAGTATGATAAACAGAAAATGTTTAAAATATATTCCCCCAAAATATGCTAGCAATAGTAACAGTAGTATATTATTATTAATGTTATTGTTACCTGAAGAAAAGTAAATACTTTTCTAAAGGGAGACTTTTTTATGTTATGGATGCTGGTTTGTTCTCTCTGCCTTATCCTAAGTTTGCTGTGACAGTCTATATGGGGAAATTGTTATTGAATACAATGACATGCCATTCAGATTTGTTTTAATTTGGTTTTAATGAAAACACACACAAAGTCAAGAATAGATAATGGATACTTAATATCAGTGGTACCATGGAAAAATGGGAAAAGGCAACAATGTCAGTGTCATTACAACCCAGATATGGTATAAACTAAAATCTCCTGCGTACAAATTTCAACTCTCCAGATAATGAAAATTCAATTCATGAGAGAAGTTGTTTATCCAGAAAATATATTGTTGAATAATTCCAAAGCAATGTAATACTGTATTATAAGAACAACCTAAATAAATTGTGAGGTTGGAATTCTTAAAATGGTTACAGATTTTATGTAGGTAGGATTTTTATGATTACTAAAAAAAGGGAAAAATACATTTTATACGTGATTTTTTCATTTGTTTGTGTGTTTTTCCCCAGGAAATTTACTTATGTATTGTGCAGCTAATCTGAAATGCTAGGGCTAAGAGCTATGAACTATCTTCCTTTATAGTAAAAAGTTTTTAGTACTGAAACCTACTGATGGTGTTCACATTTGCAACGCATATTTTTCTACCTCAAATCTATGCAGTTCTTTGAAAGACAAATAAATATTCTTTTATATAGCTTATAAAAGTTTTAGTATATTCTGAAACTAGATTTTAAGCGAGAGAAAGGTATAATAACTGTCTAATTTTAATTATTTCTAAGTTTAGAAAGAATTTTCAGAATCTCTGGAACTTCAGAATGTGAATTTGCAGACCTTCTGAGTTTTGTTTAAATTGAAAAATAACATATCCTGTATTAGCTGTATTTCTCTAAGAAACTGTTGTATTGGTAGAATGAATCACAGATCAGATGTGGTTTATTGACATATTTAATTCACAATATACAGCAAAGTTACTTTCTTAGAGTACTATTGCAATTGAGTCTATATGTGAAAAAGAGAGATAGCTACTACTAAACAGACTTTTTTCTTTTTTTTTATCAGTATTCTTCTATCAGTTTTGTAAATTTAAATACTCTTTGAGGAAAAGGGAGGGTATTCTTTATAAAAAATATAGTAAGATGTCTTCTGTAATACACAGAGCACCATATTCAATTAGTCCTTTAAGTACAGAAAGATTTCCTATGACCTTCAATTCTAATAGTCAGGGAATGCTGGTCAAAACCAATGATACTGTCCTGAGAACAACAATTAGCAGTTAAAAGGGCATAGTCTTGTCTCTAGTGGCCGTGGTCGTTGCAGTAGCATCCTGTTTGGGCACATTGCTGAGCTTCTGTGCTTACTCATCCTTGGAGACTTGTCTGTCAACGGCTGTTACAGCAGATTAGAGGTGACGAAATCTCTGGTTAGATTCTCACACAGCTTAACGCTGTTCTCTGATGAAGAAGCTTTAGGAGGTTGTGGGAGTCACTGGGATGTGCCTTTGTGCATCAGTTGTCCCTGGCTTTGTTCTCTGAGGACCACTGACAAACACGAAAAAAGTTACTGGTTACTGTAGACTTCCAAGGTACTCTGTGAATCTGTAGGAAAAGGTACTATTTGTGTTGATAAATACTTGCTTTCCTTCTTTAGCATGGATAAGTGTGGTTGTGGTGCTAGCTACCTTGCCCAAAAATCTGTTCCAAAACGCAAAGGAAAATACATCCAAAAATAAACATGAAAGCAGAAGGCTATACATGAGGAGCTCTGGTCATGCACATCCTGTTGGGCCACTGGCTTGCTCCACCCCTAATAGCTGGCTTCTTTTAAACAGAGTAGGAGTGAAGTGAATTCATTTGAGCAGTGTGATCATTACAAAGTTCTCCACAGTTCATCCTCAACCTTTGTCCTTTCCTGCAGTTGCAAACTGATTCAAACCCAGACAGGAAGGGAGTGAATCTGCTGAGAGGTGACTTATTTTTAGAGGTCTTTCCTACCGCAGTGTATTACTCAGCCTTCCTTGGATAACACACAAATAACCAATTTCCTTTTGTGTGGAATAAGATTATGTTAGAAGTTACTGAACATGCCTTGAGAAACATTTCAGCTTAAGTAAATGAAGAACAGCTACTACTTCGGTATGCAGTAACTTTGGAGAGAGGGAGACTTGGCCCCTGTAAGGTCAGAATGAATATTTAAATTTTTTTTTAAATTCATATTCAGTGGCACTTACACATCTTGTAGTCTGATAACTGTAGTGTAACTTCTTACTTTTACCCATCTAATGTTCATTCTGTAGCCCTCAGCAGACTTAACTGCTCTGTAATGATAGCTTTGGGAGAAGCAGCTTTCTTACCAACTTTGTTTTTTGAGCATTGTGAATGTTAGTTTTTAATGAGCTAGTTCAAAAACAGATCTGTCAGAATAGAAGAAATTTTACGTGCCGTTTCAGTGGGATGCTGCCTAGGAAATAAATGTATGAAAGAACATGCTGTAGCACTGCTCACTGAGGTTTCTGAATAAGGCTTAAGTTCATCAGAATTGAGACCACAGCTCTCAATGCATTTGCATGGAAGTTTGTTGCTTTAAGGTATATCTAACCACACCTTCATATCAAGGTATAATATAATCTTATGCCTCATTTTATATGCTGGGATTACAGCAATAGGAATTACAAAGGCACTGTAAAAATACATTAATTAATATAAACATGTAAGGATTTTCATTTGGTCTGTCCATTTGGCCAAATTTAAGTACATTGTTTATCAAAGGATGTTATCTCATGGTGTTTTGCAGTGTAATGCAGTAGTAGCATTTCAGAGAGGTAACCTTTTCCTTGCCTTAAACTGTTGGAAAATATATGTTGCTTTGTTACT